TCTCATAGTGTGTAATTTAACTTCTGTTGATGGACAGGTCATGATTGTCCCCAAACAGCAAAAGTATATAATCATAATTTAAAGAAGTACAATTTTAAATTTCCATAATGCCTTTTAGAAGTTATGGAAAATTTCAGTTCTCTATAAATGTAATTGGTTAAAATTGCAAACTTCTCAGCCAAAAACAAGATGTTACAATTTTTTTAAAAAAATATTCCATTACAGGAGAAGGGGGCCCCCTTTTTACCTCTGAATAGATACTAAAATTGCAGTGGCATTGGCTCATTCAAATCAACTCCTGAACTCAGGAAGAAGCTCCTCAACTGGATTGTGAGGCCGCTGCAACCCCTTCAAAAGTTTTTAATAAATAACTAATAAAATGAACAGATGTTCAGTTTGCTCAAAATAACTGCCAGTCTTGAAATGTATTTTTTGAATAAATTGCCTACATTATTTTTTCTCCCACCTTAAATTACAAATGTAGTTTAAAGTGATTATATACGAAATTGTGACTAAAGAGTTTTTTATTGTTTTATGTGTATTGCAATTTTATCAAAAAATACCTAGTATTCAGTAGCTCCTAGACCCATGATGGCGAACCTATGGCATGTGTGCCCGAAGTGGCACGCAGAGCCATGTCACCTGGCACATGCGATGTTACCTGTTCCTCTTCCGGGTTTCTGGTGCACATGCGCATGCAACAATCATCTGGCTTTGTGTGTGCGGCAGTGCCAGAACCTATTAGAGCTAGACTTCTGTTTTCTGCCGTGAGCGTGTGTGTTGACCAGCTGATCAGCATGTGCGTATGTGTGGCAAAAACCAGAAGATTTGCTGTCCGGCGCACATGTATGCATGGGAAAGCGGAAGTACTTTTTCCGGAGTGTGCATGGCGCATGAAGCAAGCAGGCGAAGTTATCCCTTTTTGGCACTCGGTGCCGAAAAGGTTTGCCATCACTGTCTAGACCTTTCAGTCAGGAACATGGTAGAACACTTAACTTCCAAACTAGCCCAGCATCAACTTCCCCAAAAATGCAAAGAAAAAAGGAGGGGGTGGAGGAAGAAGAGGAAAAGTGTCCCTTCAATGGACAATGTTTCTTGACCTTGGTTTCCTTTAAGAGATAACCTGTGACATTCCACAAAGGTTGTGGCAAAGGGTGAATTATGGTTATGGGCAAAGACACCCCTCTCCAGAGCCAACAAAGCTCTATTTACTCCTCCTGGCCACGTGTATGCATCTTGTTATAAGGAAGTTGGGGTGCTGGGAATGACAAAATGTGAAGCTTGCAGACATTTAAAGCACACATTTCCCTGTTAAAACTGGACCGTTTTCAATTGCCACAGAAAGCCTGATCTGGATTTCAAGACACATCCATGTCAGGCCAACACACACATACACACACACATAGTAGGTGTATGTATCTAATGTGTATGTGTACCCCCACATACACACACACGCAGACACACACTATATGTATTTATTAACAGGTTCTTAAGTTTGTTTGTTTGTTTGATATTAAAAACTTACTTTGATAAGGTTGAAGCCACATCATTAAAAGAAAAGAGATTTTTACTATCACTTTTCATATTCACACGTTTCCCAAAAAAGCTCCTCTTACTTTTATTGCAAAAATAGTAGCTTGCTAAAAAGAAATAAACAACCCATCACATGGAATAAAATACCTACCATCCTAAGAATTCCTTCTTTGTAAACCTAGTCATTAAAATGTAAAAAAAGATGTCATGTGTTATTTATCTGAGATCACAAGTTTTAGATTTCAAAAAACCTTGCATACAAATTAGTCGTCGCATTTTGGCTAGAAAGTGCAAAATGCTTTTCTTACTATAGTCAGCCTACCCACATCCTGGGGGCCAGAGGCTAATATTAAAGGTATTATGCAATTGCTATTAATGTATCCTGATTAGGAATGTCAGCATTCCATTTTGTCATGCTAGCAAATGTTACCAAACAAGGGAAGAGACAATTAATCTATAAACAACTATTATTATGTACTTTCTCCAGAAATTAGTAGTTTGAGTTCAATATGGAGAAAAAATAATCCGATTGTAGATGTTTTCAGACTTCCCTCTGGCACACAGTTATATTTAACTAATTTTTAATCCCCAGACTACTATCGGACTGTTTCCAACTTGGTGAGCTTCAATTGCTGAATTACAATTCCATGATCTATAACAAATCTGACTATTTGCTAACTGATGGGAATTGCAGTGCAACACAACTGCAACCTACCAAGACAAAGTTAATGTAGAAATTCTAATTTCTAACTTCTATATTGATGTTAGAGGGCATTGGATAGTATTGGTAGAAATGAATTTTACAGCCAAAGTACATTTAAGATTGTTTCACTCATTGGATGGGCGCAAGTTGTAGGTAGACTCATTAGAACAGTATATGATTTGCTGTGTTTAGTGAAAAAATGGTGTTATGCAGGAATGTCAAACTCCCGCCCCGTGGGCCGGATGCGTCATGCACTGGCCTCACCCACAATTGGTTTAGCGAAGGGGAGGGGAGTCCTGATACATCACGTGAAGCTGCCTGACAACATGAGTTTAACACCTCTGGTCTTATGAAGAAAGCCAGACCAAAACATTTTATTACATGATATAAAAAAATGAAGTTATATTATTATTGTTGTTGTTGTTTGCAGATATTTAGACTACATTTAGCATTTTTGTCCACCTATTGAGACATTCCTAAAGATCTAGGATAGGCAGATTTTGTTGCTTAACAATATTATAAGATATGAAAGCTGTTACAAGCTGCCTTTTGCAATTGGCTGTTAATGATATTGTCTGTTACTATTGGTACTACCTTTGCTTTCTTTTGCCATAGTCATTGTGCTTCTATTTGCAGATCTTTATTTTTATTTTCCCCAGTCCTGTGTTTGCTATTCTTTTGTCTCTAAGTATTGCAATGTCACTATACAGGTATTTTTTTTCTTTCTTTGTCTTATCAACAATTGTTAAGTTTGGGTTGTTGTATGGCAGATGCTTATATGTTTGAATTCTAAAGTCCCAAAGCACTTTAGCTTGGTCATTTTTTTTATCACTTTGTCTGTTTTGGGGTTCCCTCAGTTCTTGCTTGCAGGCAAATACAATTTCTTGCAGATATTTTGGTGTACAATGATTGCTACTTTATCATGTCCTTGTCTGTACAATCTTCTTGCAGCAGCTAACTAGATGATCCACTATTTATCCAGCTTCTTTGCAGAGGTAGCATTTGCTGTCTCCTGCTTGCTTCTCAATTCTGGCTTTGTATGCATTTGTTCTTAAGGCCTGGTCTTATGCAGCCAGAATTAGCCCCTCAGTCTCTTTCTTCAACTTTCCTGCTCTTAGCAATTGCCAGGTCTTGCTATTTGCTTTTTCACCTAGCTTTTTATGAACTGGCCAGGTAATACTTTTCTTTGCCAGATCTCTTTTTCATTCTTCCTTTGACCTTTCTTATAGGCCACCTTGGTTTCTTTGGTATTCAGTAAGCTTTCACGAGGAACTAATTTTCAGTGCATTTTATTCATTGTCCTTCAGATATTCTTCTTCTTCTTCTTTCTTCTTTCTTCTTCTTCTTCTTCAACTGTCTGAGGTAGTTATAACTTCACTGCCACTTATGCTCCTTCATAAGTAGAGTCTACCAACATCGAGGGATGCCTGGTGTTCCCTGATTAAACAAAATAATTTTGGCATCTAAGACAGAAAATCCCATAAGCCACAGCCTGTTGGGAACCAGACCACTGAAGCAGTGGGTGAGCGTGCAAAGCTTCATTTGCACATGCATGGCATTTAAGTCAAAGTTATTAGATATCTGAAGTTTGAAGTGTTCAAATACCTTTTGCCAAATAACATGATAAACAAAGCAAAGATGGGCAGAGAAACACAAAAAAATGATAAAACATTGTAACATGACATTTGGCAAGAGTCTGCAGAAATACAAAATAAATGAAAGCTCAATAATGCATGATGACAGAATGTCCCCTGACATAAACAGCATGTAACAGGAATGAAATTGATTAATGGAAAGTACACGTAGTTAAACTCTTGTTTTGTTCATGTAGTACGTTCATATTAGGGGTTTTAAAAATATTTTTGTTGTTACTGCTGAATCTATCATCACGATCTGATGAATATACTGATTGAATTTGCTCATTAGACAAATCCTCGTTCTGTTCATGTAGTACAATTTGATAGCTTAGTAGTAATCTTGACTATCACTAAGTGTTGCATCTTTTTATTCTTGATGAATGTATTTTATTCTCCTTACATACACTGAGAGCATATGCAGCAGACAAGACAAATTCCTTGTGTGTCCAATCACACTTGGCCAATAAAGAATTCTACTCTATTCCATTCTAATAAATAAGCTCAGACAAGTTTTTTTTTTTAAAAAAAAAATTTTTTTTGTTGTTTTTGCTGAATCTATTATCATTATCTGGTGAACATCCTGGGTGAATTTGCGCATTAGGCAAGCCTGTTCCCATGGATTATTAGGGTTACAAGGAAAACGATCAGCCTGCTTATGGAGTTCTTAGCAAAAGCCAAGTTATTTTAGGACCCAGCAGCAATCTTTGCTGCTCTCGCTTACACACTGCACCGCTATTAGTGTACAACTGGCCGGGTCATCCCCGTCGCTTGCTCCTTCTGCTGGAACCCTGTGCGCCTGGCTTCAGAAGCGCTTGCAGGCACAGGAAAGGAGCGAGAGGAAGGCGGTTTCTTCCCCATCCCGGACAGAAGCTTTCCTTGGCGGAGGGACGCTCGCGACGGTATTGCTGTCAGCGAAATGTCCCCTGCCCGGTGAGGGCCGCCGGCTGGGTCTGCATGCGCCTGCGCGGTCGCGCCATTGGATAGCGGACTTGGATAGCTCCGGCTTGGGTCTTTCCCCTGCTTGACGCGCCAAAGCCTCATTCGCCTCCCCTTCTCTCGCCGTTATCTTAGCGCGGTTGCAGCAGTCGGCCGAGACTCCGGGTCCTCCCTCGGGGGGCGGGGCCACGGAAAGACCGCGGCGTCCCCACCTCCTTTCTCGGTAGCTCCAAGGAGAGAACGGGTTTACTGCACGGGGACGCCGCCAGCCGCATCTTTTCTCCGCTTCGGGCTTAAAACTGGATGGAAGCCGCCCTTGGGGAGGGCTTGGTGGAACCTCATCGACTCATAACGGGAATCCCTCAGCGGATACTGCTGCTGCTGCCGTCCGCGTTCAATTCTTGCGGCTGCCCGCGGGCTGCGAGATGTTGAGCTGCAGCTCCAAGAAAGCGCTCGGGGGGCCCGGTTCGGTGCTTGCGCGCGCCTGAGTCGAGAGCACGACGACTGATGGACACGGAGTCCCGGGCACAGCTCGGGGCTACTGCTGCTGCTGCTGCTGCATCTCGGGAGAAGGGTCGTGTGAACGACGAGCCGCGGAGGGACCCAACGCTGCTGCCTTCGTATGGGTGGGATGCTGGGCGGGCTACCCATTCCGGGCCGTCTCGTTGGGCAGGGGGCTTAAGAGGTGGCTTTTAGAGTTGGGTTTTTTAAAGAAAAAATATTCTTATTAGTTTCATTTGGAAAGCCGAGGGGGGAGTGTGGGTGTGGGTGTAGGCGACCACAAGCCCGTCCATGGCCAACCCGCGGCGGTGCATTGAGCTGGAGCATTTCGAGGAGCGAGACAAAAGGCAGCAGCGCTCGGGCTCCCGCCGGGGAGGGGGCAGCTCCACTTGTAGCAGCAGCTCGGGCCCCAAAGGTAACGGGCTCATCCCCAGCCCCGCGCACAGCGCCCACTGCAGCTTCTACCGCACGCGCACCCTCCAGGCCCTCAGCTCGGAGAAGAAAGCCAAAAAGGCGCGCTTCTACCGCAACGGCGACAAGTACTTCAAGGGCTTGGTCTACCCCATTTCCAGCGACCGCTTCCGCTCCTTCGACGCCCTCCTGGTCGACCTCACCAGGTCTCTGTCCGACAACGTCAACCTGCCTCAGGGCGTCCGGGCCATCTATACCGTCGATGGCAGCCGGAAGGTCGCCAGCCTCGAAGAACTGGTGGATGGTAAGGAAAAGCCGACGCCTTCTCAGTTGCCTGTACTGCGGTCCTCGGACCTAAGCGCTGAGCTGTGGGGAAGCCGCTCCGGGGTGGGCGTGTTTAGTAGTGTAGCCTAAGCGGCTATCAAGGGCGTTTTCACCAGTTGGATTCACACAGATCTCTCCACATTACCCACAATGCTTAGATGATGTCACCTTGTTTCAGCTGATTCGCATGGCTTAGTTAAATCGGACTATTCTAACGGGGGAAATCCGTGCATAAGGTGTAGAGACGCTGCCTCGGTTTCCGATGAGGAAAAGGCGCTCTTTTATTGGGGCAGGAGAATCTCTCAAAATCGAAATGGAGATATTAGCAGGCTGCTGACATTGGGCTGGTCCAAAATGTAGATTGGTTTTTGTTTAAAACATGATTTGGCGTTCCCATCGGCCTGTAAATAGCTGGAGGACAGGATTAAAAAGTATCCCGAGTGAGATTTGCAAAAAAAAGTCACAATGTTGGGGTAAAAAATATTGATTAGACAAACGTTTAGTGGTTTTAAATCCTAGATTTTCAATGCTGTGGCACCTGGCCTTTATAATTAACATTTGCAGGTTGAAAAACAAATATTAAAACTGTGGGATTAATTCCATGGATTACTTTGAATTTGTAAATATATTTCTACTGGACCAGCTAAAACAGCTCCAAACTGTCTGAGATTGGTTATTATACAGAGAAATGATAATTGACTATATAACATCTAATGCATAAAACTGAAAGTTTCTGGGTTTATTTTCATATACTTATTTTGTGGTGGGAAAAAATGGTGGTTATCAGATGCTATTTTAAAGATTGAAATGATTAATTTTTCCTGGTATCTTCCAGGGACAAGTATAATCAAAATAACTTAGTTTCTAGAACTTTCTGTTTACCTGTTACTTCAGATCACGCAGTGTCCATAGTACTTAATATAGACTATTTTAAAGATTAGCTTTACATACTTGTGTTTTTGAAATATAAATTTTCTATCCATACATACCTGTTAGAATAAGTATGCATTTAATGAATTTTTAGATTTTCTCCTTTTTATGATTATGTTTTTGTTGATTGCATGACATGAATCTATTCCAGAATATTGAAGGATTTGCTACTTTTTAAAAATGTATAGCAGTCTTCATCATGAACCTCCTTCAAATACCTTTTCTGACCTTGGCCACAGACCCCCAAGACTTAATTCAAGATTTAAACCATAACATTCCTTTAAGTCTTCATGGACCCCCTGTGACAACATCATTTCCCACCCCATGGATCACCAGCAGAGGTGGGTTGCTCCCAGTTCGGCCTGGATCGGGCAAAGCAGTAGTAGTGGCAGCGGGAGGCTCTGCCCACCTGCCTGGACACTTCTGCGCATGCGCAGAAGTGTCGCAATGAGCGCACCTAAACCAGTAGTAAAAAAAATTGGTAACCCACCACTGGTCAGCAGACCACAGATTGAGAACCATGGTGTACAAGATTTCTTGGCTGATAACTAATTATTTCACTTACACAATACTTCAATGCAAAGTGTTAAGCACTATTCACATTCAGGAATCACAAGCTCCACTTAGAATTGTTTATTCAAATAAGCAGTGTCTTCTTGTCTAATTCCTGTTCCCAAAGATATTTGTGTAAGGCCACCTGACTACGTGACCTACTTCAGTGATTCAAATGAATTGAGAACATTATCCCTGTAATTCTATTACCTCCTGGTGCTAGAATGCTAAACTTTAGCATTGAAGGTAACTAAGTAGCTACTATGAGTAAATATGAATGAGATTGTATTCATAAATTGATAGGAATAATACAATCTGATTTTTCTTAATTAAAAAATTCCTGTATTCCAGTTTCAATCTGCGACACCATTTTGCAAACATTTAATACCAATTTAGACACATATAATTCTAGAACTCAGAGAAAACAAATTTAAAAATCAAGATCAATCAATTAAAACTAAATGAATATTAATTAAGGTATGTTTAGGTAGAGAATGTAGAGCTGATCTGCAAGAATTGGGTAGATTTTTTTCTTAAATATTATTTTGTATTTACATTTTTTAAAAAAACTGTATGAAAATGTATAATCCTCAGTACACATGCTTGATGTTTATTTAGGTGTGTTTAAATAAATAATCTGGAGCCTTAATCAAACTCCTTCAGGCTGTAAAGTTGTATATTTTCTGCTAGGTGTCTGGAGGAAATACCCTTCTGTCCACTGATATTGTTTTCCTACTTCTACTTTATAAATATTTTACTGTACTGTACAGTTGCAGTGTATTATCTAGCTATTGCATATTAAGTGGCATCTGAACAACTAATACCTTTGTGTAGCCAAAGCTTGTGGTTTCACATGACATCAGCAAGATAAATTGCAATAATAGCAACTTTACCACATTAAATGGTAAAATAATCTTACACAGGTTCATAATTATATTTAACAATGTTTACTGATTTTGGAGGACAAGGAGTGAGGTTGACAGATTGATTATGCTTACATTCATAATCTTCATAATCAAGCTGAAATCCACTACTCTATTTTACAATTGATTTCAGCCAAAACGCTGAGAAGAGATACTCTCTTTTAAAACTTGCACGGTTGTTTCCAAATGCTCCCTTCTTCAAATGTAGGAAACGATTTAATCATCATATCATTAAGATCAAAAACTACAGGTAGTCTTCAATTTATGATCACAATTAACCACAATTAAAATTTTGATTGTGAGCCGTTGTGATTGTAAGTTGATTTATCATGTGATCAGACTCTATTTTACCATGTTTTTATGATGGATGCTAAGTAAATCACTACAGCTGTTAGTTTTAGACTTACAATCATGTGATTCACTATCTTTTCAATGGATGTTTTTGCTGGAAAAATATCACAAAATGTGATCACATGACTGTAAGATGCTGCAAACGCTTGTATATGTGAGCCGGTTACCAAGTGCCCAAAATGCAATCACCTGACTATAGAAGTTGTGTGGCAGTCATACCTTTAAAGATAAGTTATAAGTGACTTTTTTCAAATCAATTATAACTTCAAGCATTTGTTAAGTGACGTGTCATAAGTTGAGAACTATTCATATGGTCAAAAAGATTACTTGTATGGTCAAAGAGACTCCTGAGGAGTACCAAAGAGGTTTTGGTCATAGCAGATTGTCAGTTCTTGTTTTAGAATACTGCAGGTGGAAATGTATCTGTTAAAAGGAAAACAGCTATGATTTATCCTTGGGTCATAAGATATAATATTGCATAGCTTCCTGAATAGAAAGTTTGATCACTGGTTGTGTACAAAAATATTTATGATAGTAGTAGGGTACAATTTCCAACTGATATTTGAAAATGATCACATAACTCAATAACAGAAAAACATTGGATTTAAGTGTTTTATCTGTCATGATTCATTAGTGCTTTATTGCAGCAGTAGAAACATTAGCAGTAACATCAACTTAAGATATATATTGTTCAAGAAGGCTCAATACATTATATAGAAAATTAAATATGCTTCTCTTTAAGGAGGTATATAACAATGAAGAAAGGGAGTGGTGGCTCAGCAGCTAAAGGCGCTGAGCTTGTCATCTGCTCAGCTGCCATTCCTTGCACCAGCTTGTAAATGCGAGTAGATAAATAGGTATCATTTCGGTGGGGAGCTAACAGTGTTCCGTGTGCCTTGGCGTATAACCATGCTGGCCCATGACCATGGAAATGTCTTCAGACAATGCTGGCTTCCTCAACTAAGAAACAGAGATGAGCACCACTTATTAGAGTCGGACTCAACTGGACAGGGGAAACCTTTACCTTTATAACTATGAAGAGCTGTTTATCTGTTTAAAAAAGCTTGCAGAGTTTAGTAGTGGAGTAAGTTCAAGGCTGTCATGTCTAGCTAAGGCCAGACAACTGCTGTCTGAAAATCTCTGGGAATTGTGTTTTCACTGGATTAAATGGATTAGTGGACCAATTTCAGGGGATATATTTCTAAGTTTTAAGAATTCTTTAATTGGCTTTTTATAAAGCTGTTTTCTCAGAATTATTGCTCAACAGTTGTAAAGGCATGCTATAAAAGTAGTCCACATTGTTGTAATCTTGGAAATCAGTCAAAAAAGATAGGTTGGGAAAAATAACTATTGTTTTAAAAAGTTACTGTTAAATAAAAAAGTGCAATTGCTACATTTGTTGATCACAATCATTGTAGCAACTTAAAGACTAGCAGCCTTATTATGTAAAATATTTGAATTATGAGTTACAAATGTATCTGTGGTTGAGAGGGAAATGCAAGACAGAGAGGTAACTATCTTATGTGACCATTTAGATAACTGATAATATATATACACTGATGAACTGAGATAATGCATATGTGTGTGCATCATACACAGATATACACACCTTGCATACATGATTGTAAAAATAAGTTCTTTGTCATCAATCATTTCTACAGTGAAATCATTTGTTTCATTGTTACTTGTTTCTTTCATAATGAAATCTTCCCCTTGCTGTACCTTTATTCAAAAATTGGTATTTTGAAGTTAACGACAGGCCCTCTAGCTTATTGAATATTGTCATATTTTTGTTTGGATTTAGTTTCTTTTTTTAACAAAAAGAATAATATACTATTACTAGCCAAGAATAGCTTAATATCAATGGGACAAGATAATCTCATAGAATGGCTAGTATATGCATTTATTATTGTTGAGTAATCTGCAACTAGATTCATAGTCTAAGAATGGTAAAAAATTAATAATTCAAAAATTATTAAAATAGTTCCTAAGAATAGCAATAGCATTCAATATGCTGCTTCATAGTTCTTTACAGACCTCTCTAAGCTTTTTACAGAGTTAGCATATTGTCCCCAACAATCCGGATGTAGGAAGTTCCAAGCCAGGTGGGTTATTTTTTAAAATTAGGATGTTCAGGAAAAATAAAGTTAAAATTCTGAAATATAGAGGGAGTCTTTTAGGTGTTTCTTTGAGGGTTCCAATCATGGTTGATAATAACATCAATAATTAATGTTATAGCATCAATAGCGCTGCTGAATTTCTTTTTAAACAATTAAATCAATTTTGTTCTGCATGTTCCAGTATTTACTGAGCCATGATGGTGCAGTGGGTAGAGTGCAGAACTGCAATTTAGCAGTTCAAATCTCACCAGGCTCAAGGTTGACTCAGCCTTCCATCCTTCTGAGGTTGGTAAAATCAGGACCCAAATTGTTGGGGGCAATATGCTGACTTTGTAAACCACGTAGAGAGGGCTGTAAAGCACTGTAAAGCAGAATATAAGTCTAAGTGCTATTGCTATTTAATATTATTAAGAGCAGAAATATGAATCCATAATTCTGTAGACTGTATGTTTAGGCCCTGTATTAAATTGTCATATAGACAATGTTAAAGCCGAGCTGACACATTTGGTCAGATTTAGTTTCTTCCTGCCCGGAATGGGTTCTCTTGGGTCAGAATGTTGGTTCTAGCAAGCTGTAGATATCTGTGCTGTAGACTAGCAGCCCCATAACTTTTAGGCACCAGGGACCAAATCCATAGAAAGAGATTGTTCCATGGATTGGAGGGGGCATGGTTTCATCTG